GTAACGTTTGCAACAGCACGCAACCAAGATACAAACTCCATCCAAAACATTTCAACGTTGTCTTACCATCTAAATATCTGGCGTACCAACAGTGCTTGCCTGGCTGCGTAGTGGTGAAAAACGAAACGTCTAACAAGCTAACTTCCATGCTGTCCGGTAGTCCCGTTAGTGTCCCGCTTACAAATGATATTTTATGCAAGGCTTATGACGGAGCTAAAACACAACAACAAGGTAAAAGTCATCCTAAGAAGCTCAAAAGCTCATCCTCAGAAGCTCCAGTTGGAAATTACTCAAGTGATCAAGGTAAGAAATCAAGAGTCTGGTTTGTACTAGACACGAATGATCCATCCCGACGATTTTTGGAAAAGAAAGGATAGTATATTTGATAATTTACTACTCCCAACAAACACACCAATCACCTGTCAAGACAATCTTCGCTGTTACCAACCCATGCAGACGATTGGTCAGATGGCGTATTAGAGAAGGGGCATAATAAAGTGGATTTATTAGAGAGAGAAGAGTGTTAGAGAGAAAACTTAATATAGGTAGGGCAGAATCCATCTTGACGAATGAATCGCTTGTTTGCTGTATTTGTACCGACACAGATAAACGTTCAGACGAACTTTATTTTCTTTGCTCAAGTTCGTTCAGATTGATCATCTTTAACAAATTGAACTTCCAGGACAATTTATAAATCTAATCATTAGAAATACGCTTTTCGGTTATGTGGGCGGGGTCGAGGAAGCTTAAGAGAAGTGGATCATATTGGCCAGATGGCGTATTAGAGTAGAGAGAGAAGCTTATTAGAGAGGGAGAACTTAATAAGGAGGGGACGTATTAAAGAAGTTGCTCAATAGGGAGGGGGGCTTATTAGACGGGGGGATTGATATAGACGGTATCAGAATTTACGCAATAGAGAATTGATAATTAACATGAATTATTATGTTTCTGTTTAGAGCCAAATTATGAGATTCTAGTTTACATTGATTCAGGCAAAGTTATCCTCGCCGCCTTTCTACTGTCGTTGGTACTATTTACTATATTGATTATTGACTTTACTCTTTGCCGTCGAAAGAAAGGATTTCTTTATGTTTTGCTTGGCTGTAAAAGTGATGACGCGGATGATTTTTGTCAACGTTGCAGCAAACGAAATAGAAACGAGATTACAGTGTAAAACATAAGTAAGTACGAAGACCTGGTTCACACGTCGAACTTTTCTTGTGCCGAGCCAAGGAGCTGGAATAATGAGTTTAAGTCATTAACGTTAGCTTCGGCGCATGATTAAACTTGCTTACATAGGCCTATTGTAAACTAGAACCCTAGAACTCATGTAGAAATAAAAAATCTAGTTAAAATCTTCATGTTTTGTGTATGAATATATTTCTCTTATTTGTAAGTAGTATAGCTTATATATTAGTTTATTATTGTAATATAGATTTTTATCATTGTTAACTATAGAGATTATTTAAATCGTATACTCTTAATTAACGCCTATGCCTGGCTCGGATGAATGGTATATATTTAATTCGAGTTCTTTTAATTGTATAATTAATTTTCAAGATTAAAGAATGTTTTTTAAATCGTACCATGTGTCTCTCTCATTATTCATTATCAAGACATGGCAAATCACTCACAGAAAATCATGACCGTGCATGAATGAAGGAGCTTGTACCTCTGATACTAAATAGCTTGCTCATTTACAAAAACCTCACAACTCACAAAATATTAAACAGCAATATGGAATTGAGATCATAAAACTGATAGCTGATAGACATAGCCTACGCCTTGCCCCCATAAATCTTAGCTGACAAATCACATGCAATTTTTTTAAGAATTTTTAAGGCCGATCAATTTTAGAAGTATGAAAATTAAATATTTAAAATATTCCTCTACCACCCCCGGCCATGTATATATGTGCTTATTTTTCACCCTGCTCGGTTTCCTTTGTTCTTAGCGGGGAATATATTCAATATTCCCCTCTAATCAATTTCCGTTTAATAATCCCCTCTAATATTCACCTGCAATGTCTCTGCAGCACAAAAAATAAGAAAAAACAACATAACGAAGGCAATATGTTGTTGGAATCCAGCAACAAGTTCTTGGGAACAGCAATTACCAGATTTTCCATAAACGCATTTAAAACCTTGCTTCGGGACAGACCTCAACATAATACTTAAGTCTTATCATATTATGTGGTGTACTGTGTAATATGTAATGTGTAATATATAATATGTAATGTGTAATGTGTAATTTGTAACTATATACTAATTGAATTATATTAACCCAAACTATTTTTGTAAATATGTATTGTGCAACGGCCTCTTGGAAAACAGCTCTTATCTATGCTGAAGGGCTACCGTTGTTTTTAAAGAAGATTAAATAATAATAACAATAATTGCAAAATCGAACCAATCGCAAACAGCCTATTTCCAGCCTCGTACCCAGGCGCTTTAGAAAGAAAAATATAATCGCGCTAAGCTACTATATAAAGATCAGGGCAAGCGCGCAGGGGTGTTTGGGGAGGAGGACGCGACCGGAAAGGGAAAGTTCGTTTCCAGTTCGTTCAAAAGGTCAATATTGAAATTCTTGTAACATGTAGTCAGTGTCATCATGTCGCAAACTTTTGCCTTTGCAATGTTTTCATTGCTTCAATTCGGCGGGCGAAGGAGCGCAAAACAAACAATTAAACAAAAATTTCGGATGAATAAAGGTAATAAAAACGATTCAAAATAGACCAGAAAAGCGAAGGTTTTCGTCAAGCTTTTCTGTTGTCGAACATAAAAATGACAGAAGATCCTCGAATACTGTCCCGATGAGTGGACAACTCTAGTGGTCTTTTCATTTTGATTAAACTAGGTCTTCTTTAAAGGGTATTGGCAACAAAAAATTTTATTGATTTTATTGCTTCATCTGAAGGAGCATGAAAAAATAAGCCGATTGGCCGTTTACTGCTCTATTCTATCTCATCTGGTTCCGAAGTTATACGCAAAAATGTGCAAAATATAAATTGCTGATTCAGCACATTCTGTGACGTCATAAGCTGGGTAAGTATGTTTATTGAATAGTAAACTAAAGCATAGCTGAGTTATTGGCTCAAATCAAATGAAATTTTGCATACAGATAGTACATGATGAGATGCATGGGAAAAATACTTCTAATTTCGTTGTCAAGGCAACACAGTCGTTCCCAGGCCTCTTACACTGATTTTGAATAACTAGTTGCATTTATCTATGTGCATGTCATTTTCGAATTATTATCATGCAAGTAAACTTTTGGCATGCATAGGTATCATACACATACTTCTGATATTATTTTATTCTTATCAGTACCTTGAATAAAGCTGTTTCATAAAATTGGCGCAAGGGGCCTGGAAACGACATTGTTACCTTGGCAACAAAATTAGAAGTGTTTTCCATGCGTCTCATCATGTACAATCAGTATGCAAAATTTCATTTGATTTGGGCCCATAATAACTGAGCTATGCTTCAGTGTAGTATTCAATAAACATACTTACCCAGCTAATGACGTCACACGTTGTGCTGAATCAGCAATTTATATTTTCACATTTTTGCGTATAACTTCGGAACTAGATGAGATAGAATAGAGCATTAAACGGCCAATCGGCTTATTTTTTCATGCTCTTTCAGATGAAGTAATAAGATAGATGAAGCAATTTTTGTTGCCAATCTCCTTTAAGGTTATTAATCGTCTTTGACAGATGCCTCGATGTTTTCAAACTATTGTGATTTTGTAAAATGGTCTATTTGAACATACCGACTTTGGATACAGGTATATGTTATAAATAACACGTTTCTACTTTGTAGATGCGAGTAATCGCGATCCTGAAGAAATGGTGGAAGCTACAATAAAATTTGATGGATCACTTGGTATTGCATTCTTGTGGAAAGACGAAGTGATGGTAACAAGTGGACACAAACTGGATTCAGACCAAGCGATGTGGGCGAAACAATGGATCAAAGATCACTGTCATCTGACCGAGTTTCAAGCAGGATACACGTACCTCTTTGAAATTATCTTCCTGAACAACACCGTGGTTGTCAACTATCCATTTGAAGGTCTTGTCTTGCTTGCTATCACTGATGAAAGTGGTCATGAGTTACCTTACGAAGAAGTATTGGATTGTGCTAGAACCATCGGATTCTTCATGGTAACACCACGGATTACTGGTTCGTATTCAGAAGTATTGTGGTACTGTGGTGGAATTGAACACAGTGAAGAGTCAGTCACTCCAAACTGGCCGCCATTTACTTCTGGGGCTTTGCCAGTAAATAAAAAACGACAAGAAGGATGGATTGTAAGGTTCAACGATGGGAGCAGACAGAAGATTGTTTGCCGATGGTGGAAGAATGCGTCCAGTCTTGGTCATCTTGTTCACCCTCAGGTTATCTGGTTACTCCTCAAACATGATAAAATTAAATATGTTTTTAGAAACGCTCCAAAACACTGTCAAGTGGAAATTCGTCGCATGGTGCAAGCAATCCGGCGAAAGTTCGAAGAAACGCTGCAACTAGCTGAAAGATGCCTTCAGAAGCCCGAATGTGTTTATTCTACATGCAATGATGACGAATGGTGGGGCAAGGTAGCTAAGATTAATGACTTCAGACAAACGAAGAATTCACGTTATCAGCAGAAGAGAGTGAGGGAGACAATGATCGTTTGCGCCAACTTCTTAACGAGCTTAAACCTTATCGTCATGCACGTCGTCGTACGCCACCGACCAAATTCATGAATGGAAGGCCACTGTTGATATACGAAAAAAGTCAACGGGTTGATGTTAACCTTTTGCCATTTTACCATCATTCGAAACCAAACTTTCTTCGGTTGCCAATTCTGAACTACATCTGCCCGACGTCTCCCGCATTAGAAGATTATGAACCTGGTGACAACTTCGAGCAAACATGGTGCAAGGGATAGAAACAAATCTCCATGAATGATCAACGGCAAGTTGTACGATCCATTTTGCAACGTATCTCCATTTTTACGGTTGCCGGTTGAGATAATTGTAATGATTTTAAATTTTCTTGATAACGGAAGCCAAATTGGCACGGCGAAGGTATGCTTTCAATTATGGCAAATTGTAAAATCAGAGGAAACAAGCCAAGCGTCGTTGCCACAGGAAATGTGGCAGGAACCGTGGGCGACAAATGATGACATTTATGGCTGAGAACGTTTCTCTCTAACCATACTATGGTATAATCATTATTGTTATATAGCTAGTGTGAACACCAAATGTGACTGGCTGATTGGTGGTCACGTGTTTTAGATAAATGCGATGTATCCCGCCGGGCAACAAGTGAAGAATTGTTGCCCGCCCCTACCGCTTCTATTTACATAAAACAAAATGACGGCACAACTATCAAGTTAATAAACTGCGATTTTCCAAGTTAAAATAAAAAATGTAAAAGAGAAGAAAAATACACAACAAGCAACAGGATATGCTGCTGAAACTGTTTAATTAACTAGGTTCTTTTAACTTTAAACTCTGTCATGAAATACAATTGTTGCATGTATGAATGTTGTCGATTTTTCTTTCGTCGCCATGGCCAGAAATCCAGGACATAATTTATTCTATCTCCATATAAAAATTTACATATCACTTTGAAATATGGCTTTAACTGTAAACAGTGAATTGTACAACGCGATGAGGCAAATCGCAAAATCTAAGAATATGGTAGATCGTTTCCAACTTGCCGAAATCGCTGGTGCTAAATCGAAGTTTGTCGATGTATCTAGTGTAATTTTGGCCTAGTTTAAAGTTGCTGTTTTTCCTGCTTTTTAGTTTATTCCTAGTGTGGTATTTTTATATAGAGTTAAATAAACAAATGTAGTTAAAATTAACCTCTGTACAAATATAGAAAAAGCAGGACTGGTAGTAACTTAAATAAGGCAAATTTTACACAAATTCTTCGACATGCTTTGTTTTGCATCCAGCGATTACGGCAAATTGCAAAGGATTCCCATATTCTCCGACTTTACGTTTACAACATTGCGTTGTACAATCCAGGGCCGTAGCAACCGGGGGGGGAGGGCTAGGGGGGCTGAACCCCCCCCCCCCCAATAATTTGCTAATAATCATTCTTTTTTTCAAAATCATGCAGACCTTTATCATTTAATCCATGACAAACTGCAAAGAATGAAGATATTACCCATACTTTCCTGCAACTTATCCAATATATAGTTAATTAAATACGCCTTCGCCCATTTAGTACTACTAAATTGTAAATTTCGACATACTAAAACGCTTTTTTCTGACTATCAGAATTCTGTTAAATCTTCCCCAAAGTCCAGGAAATGGCATTGCAGAGACTCTAAATTTAAAAATTTCCTCGGGCCTCGGCCATCGCTTTCAGCCTCCTCCCCAATCGAAAAGAGCTTCCTACGGCGCTGCAATCTACTATATAATGTTGTAGCAATATTTCAAAGTGCTATGCAAATTATAAGGAAGTGAATAAATTATGTGCGTGATTTCTGGCCATGTATATAACACTTAATTTCTGTTCCCTCGGAAAATGGTTTGTTTTCCGTTGACTTAATTCGTCTCGGTAAACATTGAGACTCTCAAGAAGACAAAACTTATTCCCTCAAGAGCCGACATTAAGGTAATTCCGCAGTAATTGTTCCCATAATGAGAATGTGCTGAAACTTCCCAGGCATGAAGTTTATGATATACTTAAAGTAAAATCACACAAAAAAGTCGGGGTCACCGAACTCGTTAAGAAGATATGACAATCACAATATACCACATTTACCCCAATATGGCGCCATCTTGACGCTCATTACGAGTAACAGCAAAATCACAACAGCCCGATATTTATTGACGTTTTTAGCGCGGATTTTGCTTTAGTAAACCTATCTTGTAATTATTTTTGATCCACCAATATCTTTTCCACATTTCTTTACATATCTTTCTTTGAAAAGCGCATTGATAAAGGATTTTTTTCAAGATCCAGAAATGATTTTTCTTTTAATTTCGGATATGAAATGTAAAATGCATTAAAGAAATAAATTATCTGTTAAAAAACGGGGGTCACCGGTCTTTTTAGGGAATTGTGGCATTAAAACGTGAAATACAAGTAAATAAGTATACTACAGACACAGGAAACCCTATAGCTACACTTTTGTATGCCTTTTTTGAAAACATTGATTTTAACGTAATTCTTTGCACGAATGTAACCAGAGATGTTTTGAAGTAACATAAAATTGTTATAAAATGATTTTTTAACGATACGTACGTATAATGGATGAAATTATAAGTTATAAGATGCATTAAAAGTGCGCAATGCAAAACTGCGGAATTACCTTAAGTGTATATTTCACGACTTATGCTATAATTATTACATATTCAATTCTAATCTGGGATTAAAATAGAAACAAATATTAACATTTCCTCCATTGTAATATCTACCAGCTGACTATACTATCAGCTCCACGCGATAGTGCTTAGTACCCACCTCATCTTATTGTCGATTTCAGGTCACTTTTCCCACGTTTGTTGTGACGACCCCCAATTTCGTTTCCAAATTTGAAACATTGGTCGTCAAACTTGCTTGCTAAAGAGTAAAGTATTGAAGTACTGACACAAGCTCGTAATTTTGCAGTGTTTTATTAACATAGGCAACGAATTAATTGTACTTCTTAGAAGCTTTAATAAATTATTCGCCAAATACGTTGGCCATGTTTGTGAAACACTGCAAATTACGAGTTTACGTTCAGTACAAGCAGAAAACAAACTCGCCCCGGCTACTCGTCCAAACCGTTTTGGCTAAATTTCCAAACATCACTCGTACTATTAACCCCTAATTGTACTCGCCATCGCATGATTACCTATACTATAGGCTATACAAACAGCAAGACTAACAGGTAGGCTAAACTATATATCTTTATATCATTGTTTTAAATTGGAGTCACCGTTGACCGTTGTAATGGCCCGTTTACCGTTCTTTTATCAAACCACGATAAAGATTATATTTGGTTAACCGTCATAAAAAAAAATTCGGGTTAAATTATAAGTTCCAAAAGCAGTTTGAGGCTCATAAACTATAGAGCAAATGACGTCATCTAATACAAAATACCTATGTGTAGCAACACTTGAGCGTGCATGACATTTACATAACTGTATTAAATCCCAATGCATGTGTCTCGACGTTTATGCCCAATTAAATCGCTTCTGGCAAAGGAAAACGTTGTATTTTAGATGTAACAACAAGCAAAATTCATCCGTTTCATGCGTATATTTTAATATGTGACAAGTTCAAATAGGCATTATATTGCTTGATTTTCATGCAAACAAATATAGGACTACTGGAGTGGAAAAAAATTAAAAAAAGATTGAGTTATCACACACAATTAAATTCAGTGTATTTCAGACTGTAGAACTCGTTTGTTTTAGTAAAAATACTCAAAGTTTGAGTAAATTAACTGTACATTTACTCAAAATAAGGAGTCACTATGGGTGCATTTTTTTTAGTAACTAGAACTCTTTCTACAAGTAAAAACACTCAGATTTTGAGTACAATAATCTATTGTTTATTCATACCGCGAATAACTGTAAACGTGCATAACTTGAGTATATTTTCAACTCAGTTTTTAGTGCAATGTTTCTATGGAAACATTGCAAATAAATATTGTGGTGGCAAAAGTTCAACCGAGAAAGTCATAGTGTGTTGCTCATTATATATGAGCAATACGCAGCATAGTCATAGGCCACAGAAAATGTTGCATCAACCGCTCTAAATTAGCTCATGGAGTATAAATTAAAAGAATGCAAAGGCATTATACTATCATGTCAACTATATTTTATTGTTAAAATGTCAGATTTATTTGACTAATTTAGCCGTTGGAAACCCGCAACAACTGATCATTCATTCTGAGATTGGGCCGCTGCAGTGGTCTATTCTGTGATTTCTGTTCTGTGATATACAGCTATTTCAAGTAAGGTGGTCCACGAGCAAAGCGGAAAAGTCGAATACGAGCGCGAAAGGCTGCTGGGAATCGCTAAAAAATTAATGAATTTATTAGCGATTCCCAGTAGCCTTTCGCGCTCGTATTCGACTTTTCCGCTTTGCGCGGGGACAACCTTAAATGAAATAGTTAACATGTACAACGCAACGAAAACGAACGTATAGCCTCATTAAACGAACGATCTATTCGTCGAAATGCATAGAAACTGGCCTGCTCATTGGTCGGTAGAAACAGCATATCATGAACTATCGTCTGATTAGAAGACGGATTTCCGTCTAAGACGGGAAACTCGTGTGACGGATTTCCGTCTGGTATAAGTATGAAACGAAAACCATCGGACGGATAAACCCGAAAAAATAAAAGACCATCCATCCCAGACATTTTTCAACGTTACGAGCAGAAACCCGTCTTGATTTATTCGTCTGATATAAATTTAAGACGGATTTAAGACGGATTTCCGTCTAAGACGAGAAACTCGTCTTACTTTCCCGTCGTTCAGACGGAAAACCCGTCGTTAACCGAATTTATATCAAGACGAGTTTCTCGTCTGAGACGAGTTTCCCGTCTTAGACGGAAATCCGTCTTCTAATATGAATTCGGCTATTAATTGAACGAATGTTATAATCACATACCGTTCCACGTAACAAACGAGCTAATTCCCATTGCTTGAGACAGCTGACAGCACATCATGAATTTGCGACTGCATGGTGTTACACAGCGAACGGACTTATACTCGCAAGGACCGAGTACAATTATAAGCTAGTTGTTCGAAATCCATTGTCAAATATTCAATATTTTAGAAAGGACACTTGCCCATATTAAACAACAAAACAAATGTTCACATTAACAGGCATGCAGGTAGGCATTGCTGTAATTCGTTGAAAAAGTCTGGACTATTAAACTCACAACTCACAAAGTTAAAGTTAGGAAACAAAACTCCCTCAATTATACGTGGAGTTCAGGAGTTGGGATGTTCGCTTGGGCACCAGTTATTGTAAGGAATAATAATTTATAAAAACGCTGAAGTAACAGATTAGCGGTTAGCAATTAATGCATGCATGGTTTACTTCGTTATTTAAGCTGAGATACCTTTCTTCCTCTAACAATTATTCAATATTCCCACTCAGTACACACAAATAAACGGATAATAAAAGATTAAGTGCAACTGATAAAAATTGCGTAGCGGTTGCAGTCTCATGTAACTCGTCCATGCATCGTGACTACGGTTGAAAGGCATAAAGGAATTATTAAAGTATACTTGCATATTTAATATTTCCATAAAGACAAGGATGAAAAGTGCAATTTGCATCGCTATTCACTATTCATCGCTATTCACTATTCATGTGTATGCCTAAAACCAAATAACACAGCCCAAAGATTATATAAAACTTCGGTATAGTTTTTATTCAATTTATAGCCATTTGCTAAACAATAACTATTTTTTGATATATGCATGTTTAATTGTAATCTTCACATATAAAATAAGCTATCCTTATTACAGGTAAACTACGTGAAGCGTTCCTCTTTTGACTTCGTAACTCATTTGGAATTTTTCTCATTAGCTTTGCAAATTTGAAAAACTCTTTGCAAATCCCTTGAGGAATTTGCAATATTCCTATCGGCTGTTGCAATATTCCAATGCAACGAACTTCATTTTAAATTTTCCTAACTTCCTGTTTTAATTTCCTAACTTCCTGTTCTGTTCTGTTCTGAGCGTTGTTATTGGTCGATTATTTTTGTTAGCCAATTGCAGCGCCCAGGACAGAACAGGAAGTTAGGAACTTGTAACAAGAAGTTAAGAACTTCTAACAGGAACTGAGGAAAATTTAATTGGCTTTTAGCAACATTGCAAATTCCTTCAAGGGATTTGCAAGTGAGTTTTTTAAGTTGCAAAAGTAATGAGGAAAATTACAATCAATTTAGAAACTCAAAAGAGGAACGCTTCACGTAGTTTACCTGTAACATAACTGAATATTCGTTCGTTTTCGTTCATTGTGCATGTTAACTAGCTCTCCATATAATGTCAATATTCTAAATATAAACTAAACGTAATTCGTTAATAATTAATAGGCGTATGACGGTGCACAATCAAATAATTATTAAGTTAATTCTCAGTAGAGTAGGTTTTTGGTTTCGACTCTAGTCAGATATAGTTGTATTTTTTCATTATCGCCAAATATACACAAACCAGAATATAGTTTTAGAAAATTGTCATGAAATTATTCATAGCAATGTTAATAAAGTGATATCTCTAACGTATATATATAGCGGCGTCCAATAACCCTAATTTCTGATAATGACGTCAAACGGAGAAGCCGGCCGGGGCCTTATGCGTTGTCCCTATAGTGACAATACAAATTATGCATGTTTTTATGAAATTTATTCACAAGGTTTTAAAATTATGTCATTTTGTGGTTAACATGTATAAAACATTCTTCCACTGAAATGGAGAAGATATAAATCGACGCCTGTGAGTTAGAAAATCAGTTGCATTGTTGACCTGGACGAAAGGAGACAAGAACAGATTTTCAAGTCATCACAGTTTACAAATATGGGTGAGTGTAAATTTAACTTATTTTTCAAATCTTTTCATGTATTCAGTCTTGATTCTAATATTTCATTCATTGAGTTGACCCATTCGTTCATATATTCATTCAAACATATATTTATAGTTTACTAACAGTGGAATATTGCTATAATTCTGATGCATTCTCTCTATTTTCTGTTTTTCAAATTTCTATTTTTTAAATTGCTGCACAAAATTTATAGGTTATTATATATATTATTTTAACTGCATGTGTCTGAATATAGGGTTATTGACTAAATTTTTTTAAAATACTATAATGTCGAAATGAGTTTTTAAATTTGTCATTGCAATAAATC